ATCATCAACGATGTCAATGTATTTAGTTGTTAGTAATAGACCCATTTTTGGCCACATGGTTCCACATAGGTATAATTCTACTGATTTAGTTGATGTTTTGAATGCAGTTAAGGGTGTTGATTCTAGCCAAGATCCTTATTTTGATGCATACAGTTGTGATTCTGTTGCATAACTTGTTTCAACCTTGTTTGCTAGTCATTAGATCACTTTTTTCCCTAGTTGGGAATTTCATTTGTGTTTTTTATTGAAGATTTTAAGTTTATTCATTGCAGTGGAATTTGTCTCCAAGTAGACAATTTTTAAAGTTTTGTTCATTGTAGTAGAATTCGAGTTAAGGTGAAGATTGTTAGAATTTGGGTTTGACCCGAATTCTTTGTTGAAAATAATTGGGAGTTCAAATTAAAGTGAATATTAAGAAAAATTCTATTTGGAATGTTTTTGGAATCCTATTTGAAGTCTATTTGGCAAATTATAGTTGAAGTTCTATTGGGAAGCAATTGGGAGTTGGAATTTGAGTTAGACTTGAAACATCCTTGGAAGATAATTGGGACAGAGATGGGAGCCGAGGCTCCACCAGCATAAAGCTGGGTTAGAGTGCCGGTACCCTAGTGCCGGCCCGAGATGTCAGCAGCACGCTGTTTATCGTGTTTTTTTTCCTACTCCGTTTTAGATTCCGTTGTATTCTACTTCTATTACAACTCTACCATGAGTGTTTGGATATCTCATTTCTCTATATTATAATTAAATCTCCATTCTCTGCAAAATTACATTTCTCATGTGTTCTTTAATTCATATTGTGGCTATAATCTCTTACTTTCTCCAACAATTTATGGGATTAGTCCGGAATTATCCATTTTTCACAATAAATTGGTATCAAAGCAATCCAATTTACAACACAACCACGAGCTAGACGCTTGAGCGGTGAGACGAAATTTTCAGCAGAGGACTTGTCGCCTGCCTACCGCACGACTGGTGCTCGAGCGCTACTGTCATCTTGGTTTTCTTTGTTTTGTTGATTCCACGCCTTTTTTGACATAGTTCCCATCTTCAGGACTATTATTAGGGTTTGACATGTACCCCTATAAATAGTAGACTTTTCTTTACAAGTTAATTCATTACTTCAAGTTAGAATTGTACAGTATTGTTGTTCTACATTATAGTTGAATAAAATCTCCAATTTCTCTGCCAAATTAAACTTTTGTTTCTTGTGTTCTTGTTGTTGTGATCAATACTTCATATCGTGTCGTATAACCTCATCCCGTTTCTAACAAAGCATATGATGGACCCTACATAGCTACAAAATCAAAACTAAGAAACAACCATGAAAATCAGCAAGCAAAGAGAAGAGTTAAAATGTCTGATTATTGGATTTCTTCTTTCCGTTCTAACTAATTCATTTTTTACATCAAATTACTATACTAGTTGGTTTCTTTACAATTAATGGGTAGATAGTTCTCCTCATTGCAGCTGCATTCTCCAAATCAAACAAGTAGCCCCTGCAGCTCTTGCGTGAATTAGTCTTAAACTGTCACAGATCAACTACTGGTTTCTGTTATCAGCACTGACTTAATTACACTATTAAAATAAAAACTAAAATTTTATGTTATGACTTGTGATTTATATCATTCTTCATTTATAAAATCAACTTGTTTTTTATTAACAAATGTGGCATCAAGTACAATAGCCAACTACACAAGTAAGTAAGAAGGATCGCCTGAAATTATGAGTTCTTCAACATTTCTCTGTCTTCGTAACTTGAGATACTGTCCTTCAACAAGAAAAAAATATTAAGCAACCATATATAGAACCAGGTAATGCAAGTGAACTAGCTTAAGAAGGAACTTAAAAACCAACTATGAGGGTAAGCCAGGTTTCATGAGTATGGTGAAATGTAGCTTTTGATTTAGGAAAAGAAAAGATAATGAAAATAGCAGGAAAAACAATATAAGAGAAGAAGACAGTTTGCCACAACATATAAACCTAAGGAAAGTTAAAGCTTTGACATATAAAACTCAACACATAAAATCAAGCTAGATTAAAACTAACATGGCCCAGTTTAGTTTCTTTGGTTCTTCTCACAAACAAAGCAATAAATCTAATGGAGTAGTGAGGAAATAATATGTAGCCAACCCAAAGGTACGGGACATAAGACATTGTTATTTATAATGGGATCCTTTGACAAAATTATCTAACATTATCGCAGATGATCAGGTGAGCATTTCTATTTTCATACCTGCATAACACTTGAAAAATATTATTCAAATATAACGAATAATGCTATTCATCTCCACTGATGCTCAAGCACCACTATAGGTGTTTATACTTTATTAGTTTAATTATATGAGTTATACGACTTTGCATTTAAATGAATTTATCATGTAATGTCATGTAATCATCACGTAGACTGGTTCTTAACACCAATGGGGATGAATAGATTACTCGTAGAGGAAACATTTTTCTGCCTCTCTTTACGAGCATCTAAAAAGGACGTCCAAACAAATTTGGCCAACACAAAATAGATATCACCCCATTACGTCATAACCTTTATCCCCTAAAAGTAGAAGTGTTGGAAGAAATTGTAATTACAGCTGTGAAAGTATTAAATAAACAAATACAATCAACTTCTAAGTTTGAATGAACTTAAAATGAGGAACCCTCCATCATGTGGAATAGCTTCACAGTTTATTCTATTTATGTATTAGCTGCGTAAAAATATTGCTTCTCACAGATGATTACTACTCAATTAAGAGCTATCATAAATACCTAAAAAAGACTTCGTATAAAAAAATTAAAAAAATTGAAGTGAACAAATTTCCAAATTCACATCAGTAAATAGCAAGTAACATTTAGACAAGCTAACATACTACCTCAAATAAACAAGATTAATATCAAACTTCAACATTTAGTAAAACGGAAATAAAATTCAAATCAAAATTTTGGGGGAACTAATTACCAAGAGAATGTAGGTTCATTGTTAGATTTTGATACTTCCATGATCAATTGTTCGTGCGAAACCCGGAAGCTTATGTAATCATTCACAAGTAATAGATTCACTGAGTTGAGAGTATCATAGTTTAACTTTACTAGTTTTTAATGGAATTCAAATTATGTAAACAAAGGAGATTTGATTTTTATGATTATTCCAAATTCATCTAAGAAAGCTGTAGAAGTTTAGTTTTATCAAATTATGGATGATTGTATTGGATTTCCGTCTATTGCTATATGTTTCAATTCTTGATTTGTAATCTAGTTCTGTTCATGCGTTCTTGACAATCGATAAAGCTATGATATATAATTTTTCTTTCCCAAAAAAATTAAATCTAACCCGAATCTATTCCTTGCCGGAATTCGAATGATTAGAATGCATTAAAGTTTATATTATCTATACGATTACACGTGATAAATGTTATTTCTAATATCTATTGCACATATGTTAATTTTGTCGTTTTTTAAACTTATTGTCAGTCTCCCAACACTACAACAAACAACTAATTATCTAATTGTAGCCAATCAATTAAATAATGCAATGGGTATACAAGAATAATCAAGAAACACGAAATACTAGTCTTGAATTACAAATAAATAACAAATATCCAATATAAAAATGGATATAGCCTAGTATGCTTTTAAGTAAATTACAAGAAGAATAATAGAAAAATATCATCCAAACCATGATAGAATGCAAAAAATGTTGATCTTCAATTCCAAGGTAGAATTTTCAAAATCTTGATGTAATTGACTTTAATTCCTTGCCCGGGTCTGATGTTTTCTCTCAAAAGTGATGAATTGGCCTCTTGTTCTTGATGAATTTGATGATATTATTATGTATGCAGAGGCAAGGGAGGGTTTTTCAATGGGTAGCTCTTGTTCTCTATTTATAAGGGTTGAATTTAGATTAAGAAATCGTCCCAAAGTTGTTACTAATAAGAGTTTGAATAAAAAAAGGGAAATTGGCCTTTCGGCAGAGAATTTGGCCCAGGCGTGCGCAATATGATTCATTGAGCACACGTCGTGGAGTAGTTTTTTCTCGATAAATAATATATAGGGTTGTGTGAGCGCGATAATAGCCCGCGTGCATGCCGGTTCACGTTGGTTTGTCTCTTAACAACTTTCGATATTTTGGTTATAACTTTCTTTCTCGATAACCGATTAAGGTGATTCAAACTGCGTTGAAAATATAATTCAAAGGGCTATAATTCTTGTAGAATATGTATTTTTCCAATTCAAACATTTGCTATGCTAAAAAGAAGTCACAAATGTGAGGCTGAAAATTCGTAGTATAGCTTTTTTCGCTGGAAATTAATTTGTGAAAATATTTTAACTATATTTTACTCATTTGACCTTCAATTGCATTCAATTGATGATATGTGATCTTCAATTATCATTTTATGGTTCGAATCTACTTTTGAATGTTTGCACTTTGATTCTTGAACTTTGAAATTCATCCATTTTCGTCCATTTTTCCTTCACTTCTTTCAATTCACCCAATTTTCTCGAGTTTTACCTAACAAACAAAATTAACACTAAATTAGGCCATGAAAATCAAGATTAATGATAATTAATCACATTGGCCCTATCAAAAGGCAAATTTTGCTCTTATTTGAGTTCAATTTGAATGAGATTTCAGGGGAAAAAAAATTAGAATAATGATTTTTTTTGAAGAATGTGTCTTTCAAAAATATAAAAAAATTAAATCTATATGTAACATTATTTTATAAGAAATGTGATTGAAAATAAATTTTGAAAAAAATGAAGTGAAACAGACTTTAGCGATGCCACCAACTCTATGGAACAGCTTGCACCAATGATAGCTAAACACGTGTTCGCTGCCCAAATTAATGGAGAATAATCTTCATCCAACGGCTCAATTACCTTCAAGAATTACAAGCAGCAGCCCCCGTAGGAAAAAAATGATAAACCACAAGTATAAGAAAAATTCGTGCGGAGAGGACGACACACAGAGAGACCCAGAAGAAGACACTAAAGAGAGGTTAAAAAAAATGGCGACAGGAATGAAGGCGATGCCATTTTCTTTTGTGGCTCACTTCTTGGGCATAGTAGGTGCAATTATGGTGCTTATTTGGTGTATCAGCTTCAGGGGAGGTTTAGCATGGGAAGCCCCAAATAAAAATCTCATCTTTAATGTAAGCTCTCTTTGATGATTCGCTTTGTTCTGTTTAGGGTTCTTGATTTTTGTAGCCTTTTATTCTATTCATGTTTCTGATTGAGGCGTTGAATTTTATATTTGTTGCTTTTGTTCTGGTGTGGCGTTTACTGAAATTGAATTCAGTAAATTTTGATAAGATTGTTTATATGAATTGAGGGTAGTAATCAGTTATGATCTCACCTATAGTTATTGCAATACTTCAATTAAGGACGAGAATTTTAACCTAATTCTTTGGATGAAGTTGTTTCAATTATGTATTCTTAACTTAACATATGGATTGAAATGGATGGATCTTGTTTTGCATTTGTTGCTAAAGCTGTTGTCTCTCTTGCACCTCACAGTTCGTTTCTAGTTTTTTGTCTAACCCCCTAGGACTAAAATACAAATTGCTGTGCTGATTTAATTGGAAAGTGGAAGCAAAAGTTACCAACTTTCCATGACCACTCTGCCATTGGCAGCTTCAGGGCCTAAGATAGTTTCGAGGTTATTTTGGTCGTCTTCTTTTTTTTTTTTTCGTTCCACATTGTTGATGGCATTTTTTTCCAGAATTTAATGTCCCAAATCTACACACTTCCCGACTCTATGCAAAAAGACAAAGCACTGTCATTTTTGGACCTTATCCATAAAATGAATGTCTTAGAAGGAGATTTTGTGTGGCAGAAAGGTCAGTAATTGCAGATAAGTACACCTGTAAATTAACTGGATTGGTTTGAACTCTTTGCAAGAGCATTTTAAAGGTTTGAGGGACGTTTTACTCAAAGAAGTAATAAGAATTATGAGATCATCCATATAACAAGCGAGTTATAGGATCATGTGTGAAATCACTAGAAGCTCAGCTTCTGCTTCCAGATCATTGTCTAATTCCAAAATATGATTTTCAATCTGTCTAATATACTTCTTTTATGTCTGAGCTGGAAATGATTGAACTACGGATTCATATAACACCCTCCGTAATGACTAAGGAAAAAAAAAAATCTTATTAGGACTTTCTTGGTTCTAAGCTGTTTTAACTTATAATTACTTTTATGGGTAATATAAGGTGGTCATTGCTGTGGATTTATTATCTTAGTCATTTCTTTTGTCCCCAGATTCATCCTGTCTTAATGCTTATAGGATTGGTCATCATTGGAGGTGAAGGTAATTGAAACAATTTCCTTAGTAACAAATTTAATGAGCATCTAGCCTTAATCATTAAATTATGATTAACTTCTTTATGTTCTCTTTCTATGTTTCCCCTAAATACAGCCATTATGAGTTACAAATGTCTCCCATTGAAGAAGCCAGAGAAGAAACTAATACATCTAGTTTTGCATGCTATTGCTCTCATACTTGGCATAATTGGAATTTACACAGCATTCAAGTTTCACAATGAAAGCAATATTGCCAATTTATACAGTTTGCACTCTTGGCTTGGAATTGGTGTTATCGTTCTTTATGGCATTCAGGTACTGATTCATTATGTTTACTTACTCTGGCCAAATGTAATACTCATTTGGAACTTATGTGTTTTGTATTGCTTACTAAATGTCTACGAATCTTGCCTCGATAAAAGCTACCTTATCCCTCATGGTTACAATTTCTTTTATTGCATCATCAAATTGTTTGTCGAGTGCAAACAAGCTAAATAATGTTGAAGCTGGAATTCCCTTTGATTTCTTGAAACGTGCATCTTTGGCTTTCCGCAAATTGGTTTATCACAAATGCAAGTCGGTTACTACGCAGACATTGGGCCACCCGGCCTAGTGGCAAGCCACGCTAAACCTTAGACCTATGTTTGGGGCCTTGAAGCATATTCCGTTGGCAAGTACTTAATGGGCTTTGCACACCGAATTTTTTTTTTTTTTTTGCATTTTTCATATTAATCTAATTTATCCTAAATTAGAAGCCTTTTTGTGGAACTCAAATAGAGACCTTCTCTACCTTTCTTTGATTCCATCAAACTAAACTTTAGTTAGTTGTTTCTATTTCTCTTCTTGATCTCCTATTCTAATGTTATTCTAATTTGCAGTGGATTTATGGTTTCCTCATTTTCTTCTATCCCGGGGGTACAACGACAATTAGAAGCCAGTCGCTTCCATGGCACGTTCTGTTTGGCCTTTTCGTGTACATTTTAGCGGTTGGTACTGCTACACTAGGATACCTCGAAAAACTTACATTCCTCCAGAACTCTGGCGTCGCAAAATATGGCTCGGAGGCCTTCCTAGTCAATTTCACAGCCATCGTAACAATCTTGTTTGGGGTATTTGTGTTCTTGACAATTCTTTCTCAGCCTCCTCAAGAAGATGAATACAGTTACTCAGCTATTATATAATGTCATCTACAGTTGCTTTTTTTTTTTACTTTTTTCTTTACCCTATTTGCGTTTGGTTCGAAGTTCTTGTGTCCTATAAGGGTGTGAGCTCTCTCTCGTTGTGAGTACATATGAGTTCTCATCTTCTACGCATTATTTGTTGAAACATATATATAAATGAAAGATATCGATTTCCTTCTGTTATTATCTAAAAGAAATTGTTTATAACGTTTAAATAAAATATTCATTTGCTATTTTTATTGTTCGTTTCAAAATCAGCTGGTGAGTAGTTGTGTAAAGATATATGTTTGGCTAAGCTTAAAAGTAATTCAAACTAACTTTGAAGTAAATTTTTGTTTCTAGATGTTTTTATACAAGTTTATTATCAAAATTTGTAATTTATTTCCACAATTGACCAATAAGAGAAATACATATATTAAAATTTGTATACAAATGAACTTTGTTATGAGTTTATTAAGCTTAGCCAAAGTCCAAACGTGTAAAATGGCCAGAGAGGAAAATCATAGGAACATGACTAATCTGAGAATCCATTGGAGCTCACAAAATAACTAAGAGTTAATCTGTTAGTAAATAGCAATCTTATTGGGAGATTATTCAATTTGGCCTGCTTGACTAAACCTTTTAAATTTTTTATGGAAATGTCTATTTTACTCTTAATGAAATAAATTCTTAAAAATTGCATGGTATATCCTTTTTCTTCTGAGATAGTTAAAAAACTTGATTTCAACTTTTATTTCTTCTATTTCGAATTTTATGATCTAATAAGTTGGAATAATCTGTAATATACTTATCGTTTTCTTTTCTAAGATTATCATATTCTTCAGATAATATATCTATATCTCTTAGTAATAAATCATTTTCATTTATTTTTCTTAACATTTTTTCTAAAATTTTATCTAATCCTTCAACTGTATATCTTGGCATCTTTGATTATCAGACTATGAACAACATCATAATAAAACATTATAACAATTAATCCCCGCGATTCTTTAAAATCTTAAGAGAGTTTTTTCTAAATTTAGCAGTAAATAAGTAGTTCTACTTTAGTTTTGGTCTGGATTTCTAACCTCAGAATCAAGTGACATTCGAGCTCTGGATGTGCAAATCACTCCCTTCAACGACTTTCTACCTTCACGGGATCCTTGTTATTCCAGATTCTTGCTCTCACTGTATTGTTTCTAAGAATAAATCTCTAGACTTTTGTTAAAGAAAAAACTTTGTTTATTACTAAAGTAAGAAAGAATTTCTCTATCAGATTCTTCAAGAATCTCCCTCTTCTATTAAAAGAGGCAATCCTCCGTGCACTATTCATTTAGGACGTATTTTCCTTTTCCCATTTTATCCCTCACTTTCTTCTTTTCGGAGAAAAAAATGTAGGTGGTGAAATGTCCAAACAATTTGCCGACTGACCTTCTACAAACCGACTTCGTCTTGAAACTGATAAGAAACAAAAAGAATGGGAGAAAGGAGAAAAAGCAGAATCAATCAATTGGTGAAAAATGTAGGCGATCAAAGGCGATGGTTTTATTGGATATTTGCATTTGACTGTATTATCTTAAACATATCCCATTTCCTTCCATAATAAGTTCTCTCTTGAAACTGATTGGTGAAAACAACTTGAAACTGATTGGTGAAAAATGTAGGCGGTCAAAGGC